AAGTCCCTCTCGGGCCAGTGAGAGGGTGAAGCCCCTTGTTTAAGTCTTGGAGTCAGCACTTAACTCATCTACTTACCCTAAATTCAGGAAGGACTGAATTCCATCTTGTGTAGTTATGTTCCTAACTCTCAACTCGGTCTCGTCCCCAAAATGGTAGGAATATTGAGTCGGCGACTCGGGCCAGTCTCACCCATACAAATCAAAAGATGAGCCCTAATAGGTAGGAGTCCATAACTCACAAGATTAAGATCGAGTTACTTGGTCATCCTGTTGAAATATTAATCTATTAGCTAACGGTATTATAGCTAAAGATTAATTATTTCGCGGTCCGACCTTATACAAACTCATTGTATAGGATAACCCCACTCGTATGTCTCCACAAGAACGACCTGGATCAAGTCATTTGTAACTATTACAAAGTGGGTCGTATCCATAGTGTTACCAGGATAAGGTACCCAACTTTATCCATATACTATAGACCCTTTATGTTACTACTACTGGAACATTATCCACCTGTATATCGAATATATAATGTATATGTATACATTGTATATCAAATATATAGGTTGTATATTAAATATATACCGTATATCTGTTACATACTGTTCCAGTTACATGACATAACCTCGGATGTTAGTTTATTGGATTTGGGTTAATGCAATTCTAAGAGAAACATCAATAACAACTTTATTGAATGTATATTTGTTTTATGTTTACAAACCACGAGTTTAGGGCATAAAACCCAACAATCATGTTACAAGAAAATACTTGAACTTTGAGGTTAGATAAATGGTTTTTTTTTAAGATATAGGGATGAAAGGAATGGTTAGTCCCAGATTTATTGTTGAAGGTTTGTAAATGTAAGAGAAGTTTCGTAATAACACCTTCACTAGAAGGCAAAATAGAGTCATAAAAACTTGAAATTTTAAAGAGGGGTCAATTTCGTATACCAAAAAACTTTTTGGGTTATTTTGGACAATTTATCGAGAGAGAGGAGGAAAAATATATGTGAGAGGGTATGGGACCCACTTGAAGAAAGAGAGAAGAGATAAAAGGAATAAAATGGGGAGTTGAATAGTAAATTTATTGTTCAACTTCAGGTTTTATAACTTATTATCCCAAACATGGAGTAAATTTCTTCACTCAACTTCATTCCACCAAAGTCCTTGCCACAAACACCCCTACATTATTTCCATGTAATCTCATATTGAACATAATAAAATTGGAGTTGTCTCACGTACTTGAGAGCAATGGGCCTTGTCTCTTTATTGTATGCTTTGAACATTCAAATATGTTGCACCAACCTTCTTATGGAGTGTTCAACCTTGAGTAAGAAATTAGTTCTCCTTACCTCATGATCTTGATAATCAAGGTAATCTATCGTCTAACCTTTCCCTTAGGGTTGATTCTGAATTGATTTTGGGTTTTCGGAATTAACAGTTAGAGATTTTCTTTAAGTAGAAGAGTGAGTAGCCATAGGTGTATGTTGCACCCTTGAAACTTGATGGAGGTCTGTTGGTTCATATCATAAAGATTTCAATACAAGATGCTAGAAGTTTAAGAGACAAGAGAGATAAAGAGGCGCGAGATTGAGAAATGAGAGAGACTAAGATTAAAAGAGAGGATTTAGTTTTATAGTGTCAAAATCTTAAATTTAGGGATAAACATGTAAATTCACGTTTCAAAGTAAAAAATTTGTGGGTTCTTAGGCTAAATAGGCATTTTAAAAATGTATTGTTTTCTAATCACCCTTTTTTAAAACACATGTTTTCTAGTTACTGGTTGACATTACCTAGACACCAAATGACATTCACCGTCCCTCCATTAATTTTTTAGATTTCTCCCCTTATTTTAAAACATTGCATTTTCTCTCTCTTTTTTCTCTCTCCGTCCTCTCTCTCTTATATTTTCATTTATCTTCCATCGCTTCCCCTCTTTCACCACCATTTTTATCTCTTCTCTCCCCCTTTCAAACACCTATTTTACAATCGCCCCCACCATCTCCCTTCTTCTTCTCTTTTTTAGTTATACAGTTTCAAATCTTCCTAATCTCGCTTCAAATCTAGCCCTAGATCTATCACTTTTTCAGTCTCTCTCTCTCCTATTGCTCGCTCGGTCTCTCTCTCGATCTCTCTCTCGCTCGGTCTCTCTCTCTATCTCTCTCGCTTGGTCTCTCTCTCGTCTCACTCGATCTCTGGCCAATTTTTTTTTGGTAATTAAATTTTAAATTTGATACTTTCGTTTGATTAAATTTAAAATTAGGAATGAGGGAGGGGAAAGCCGAGGGTTAGATTTGAAATCCAATCATAATTAAAACAAAGATTTGAGGAGATTGAGGAGATATTTTAGGGAACAAATTAAATTTGAATACTTATCATTCCTTACTAAACTTGAGAGATTGAGATTGTATTTCTCTCCATTCTAATTTTCAAATTTTAAATTTAAAAAATCTTTAATGATTATTTGTTAATCTTATTTATGATTTTATTTAAATTAACTAAATTTTGTTATTATTACTATTATTACTTTGCAGGTAAACGACATTTTATTTCAAAACATTTGAAATTATTCACCTTATAAATTTGTTTAATAATATTGAATTGATAAACGTTCATTCAAAATTAATTTTTAGATATTATCAAAAGAACGATCTCATTAAAAATCTTATTTTTAGATACTATCAAATAAAAATTTTAAATAATGGCATATGGATTTGAGAGTAAATTTTTTTTCCCTCAAAGTAAGATACGGGAATTCAAACTCTGTCTCTCTCGCTCAACTCTGTCTCTCTCTCAACTCTTAACTCTCTCTCGCTCATGTCTCTCTCGCTCGACTCTCTCCATCTCCTTCCTCATCTCCATCGTAAGCCGAACTTCCTTCCTCCCCTGAGCCTCTTTCTTCGGCKAACGACCTCCCTCATCGGCTTTGATGCATTCGTCGCCGACGATTGTTGAAGGTCACGGGAATCATGGAGGCTGCTGGTTAAAAAAAAAAAAAAGCTGAGAGATTTAGGGTTTTTTTTAGAGTAAATTGATTTTTGTGGTGAGCAAAGAATAAAAAACTCATGGTTGCGGAAGAGAGAAAGAGAGCGGAAGAGAGAAAGAGAGAAGAATGAAAATCGATAAGAAAACAAAGAAGAGGAAAGAAAAAAAAATCTGGAAAAGAGGGAGATGGAGGTATAGAGAGGAAATAAGGGATTGAAATCTAAAATATTAGTGGAGGGGTAGTGAGGGTTGTCTAGGTGATGTCAGTCGATGACTAGAAAATATGTGTTTTGAGAAGGGTGATTAAAAAAAATACTGCCGTTTTAAAATATTCAACCCAAAATCCCAAAATTTGTACAACAAGGATTTGTCTTCTGCCCTTGAAATATGTCTTTCCTCTTTTTTTTTGTTCAATTAATTTTTGGTCCCTTTACTTTTGTCTTTGGTTCTTTTTTTATTCGTAACTTCAAAACGTCTATTTTGATCATTGTACTCTCAAAATGTTCATTTTGGTCTCTGAATTTCAACTTTCGTTCATTTTAATCTCTGTACTTTTGACGTTCGTTTGTTCATATACTCTTAAAAAGTGACCAATGTAACACAAATTTTATACACAATGGAAATCTTTAGAATACAAATTTATAGCTACATTTCAAGAAATTTAGTGAGTGAAGTATCGTGATAAAATTACGATTTAAATAAATGAGATAGAAATAAAAATGAAATGCCCGTTTGGTAACGTTCTCGTTTCTCGTTTCTATTTCTTGTTTCCAATTTTATTAAAAAAATCTAAGCATTTGATAATTATTTATTTTCCTTTTTTCTCATGTTTTAGAAACATTCTCAAAATTATATATAAATTTTGGAAACAAAAAAAAAACAAAATTCTTTGTTTCTTGTTCCCGTTTCTAATTTTTTCCAAAACATAAATAAAAATATAGTCTGTATTCATTCTTGAATACATAAGTGGTGGCTGGTGGAGTCATGCAATTTTATTGTTCTATTAAAAAGGAGGAAATAGAAACGAGAAATGAGAACGTTACCAAACAAATCTTAAGAGACCAGAATCGGCACTTTTAAAAAGTACATAAACCTTAATGGATGTTTTGAAAGTATAATAACTAAAATAAACAAAAGCTGAAAATATGCCGTGACCAAAATAGATGTTTTGAAAATAGGATCAAAATAGTATTTAAACATTTTTTTAATTATAAAAATCCTTGTTATTATGTCCTTTATTTCCAAATTTTTTATCTTAGATTACCAATCAAATGGATTCTGAAAAGTTTTGAAAGATCTCTGTGTCGTACTAAAATATTATTAATTATTAATAAAGTTTCAATTTTCTAGATTTAGAAATAATTTGTCAATTGTAATGGTGAATTAAAAAAATAATATAATAAGAGACGAAACAAATACCTTTTTAACGTAGTTCGGTTTCTTAACCTACTCCACGAGGCCATACCTATAAAATAAGATTAACAATAAAAATAGTATAATTTACCATCAATATTGACTATGTATAAAAAAAACTCCCCCTTAAATTATGTTGCAAAAACGGAGAAATGAATCACATTAGAAAGGTAAAAACCAATTAAACCGTAATTTACTCAAATCCATAGTTCCTACAAATTAAAAAAGAATAATCAATTGGTAACATTTTCCAAAAAAGAATATAGCCATCAGACACGTTCAAGAGCTCAACTTCACATTTGAAATAAAAAACAAATATGATATAATAAAAGAAAATTTAGATGAAAATAATAAAGAGTTTAAATTCAAATTCAAATTAAAAAATAAATATCATATAGGTTTTGAAAAGTCAAATGTTTTTTCTAAAAATGTCAATAACTAAAATTCCTTTTAAATTCGAAATCTTCTTCGCGAGAAAGAGTTACGTCTTTTATCTTTGGAAGAAGACTTTTGTATGGCTAAAAGGAGATCGACTAATGTTGAAAACATGAAAATATATATCATATCATCCGAGATGATCCTGTGAGAGTACACGAGTTTTGATTCAATCAAATCCAAGTCGTTTTCTCATTACTCTCAATTTCTCATCCATTCTCAATCATTCCATGGATGACTGGAACTCTATGCTTTCACAATGAAAAATGTAACACACATTTTTGTACGTGTCGAGACCGCACTCAATAACAATCCCCTCGAACGAACTTGTATTTGCAGCAAGAACAGTGCACTGTTAATTTATCAAGCTAAATACATTACAAAAGTTTGTAGGCAATTTGCCAATCTTTGACCAATCTGCAGATTCATAATAGCCATTTCAAAAAGTTAAGCAATATACCTATTCATATTTTGTCCATGTTGATTGATATCTTTGTATGGTTGAGTATACCTTTATAGTCTAGCATCTTTCATCTCCAAACCAGTTGTTTTTCTCCTTTGGTCCAGTTGGTCCTTCTTCACCGTAGAGCTCGGTCGGGAACAGAGCGAGAAGGTCTTCCAAGGAAAATCGGACAAACAATGGGAGGAGGTCGATCAGTTTTTCGATCTCTGATCTCGCATCATACATTATGGTTGGACCCCATTCTCTCATGTACTGCAACCAATTTGGTTCAACAACGACGCCGTTGCCAAGATACTCAGCAGCAATGATTTCATATTTGATGCTTGAGTCTATGGAAAACTTGCTTCGAGCTGCATCGTTCTTCACTCCAATTCCTGATGACCCCTGAAGATAGGTCCCAGGATGTGGGAAGCTAGCATGACCATGTTTCGACGAATATACAATCGGCTTATTGCCCTGAATGAACTCCAAGTCGAAAGCCTCGACCCATTCCCCCCTGCTGTGCTCCGAGAAGTACACTTGCCATAGCTCCCCAGAAAAGTTGCTGATTCGAAGCGTGAAGTGTTCCCAGTCACTAACATGCTCCCCAACCTTTTTCAGATTGATGCTCAGGAAACTAACTTTGAGAGTTGCTGGTCCATTAAAGGGGCAGAAAACCCACATCACAATATCAGTAAAAGTTCCTCCTAGTGCTGGTTTAACATGAACATAGAGTCTTGCGGTTGCGATGTCACCACTCTTCAAAGTCTCTCTCGCATTTTTGTTCATTGGCAGATCAATCCAGTACTCCCCATCATTTTCCCCTCCACAGGGCAAATTGGAACCTCCAATGTCAATAGGCTCGCCCTTCATGCCATCATTTCGATAAAGAAGAGCACCGTTTTTGAAAAACCATGGCACCGATGATGGCAAGTATGCCTCGCCGGGGTGAAAGAATACGGTTGGCCCATAATGCCCAATGAGTGCCTCAACCTGGTTCAGGTTTGGCATTCCTTCTAATGTGGGATTGAGATTCTTCAGGCAGGCAATATTTAGAAACTCTTTAAAGAAAGTGGAGGCAAAGAATGTGCCAATGGAAACACCTCTCTGGTAAATTCCCCTTTCACAGGGTCTTGTTTTCCAAACATGGAACACATTAGATTTCGACCTCAGGGAAAGAATTACGTCACTAGTCTCGCATCTCTCGGTAAGATCAGCTCGCACGCATCGGATATCGTCAAGAGCAGGCTCCTCCGGCTCGCTAGTGACCAAGAATCCCATGGCTTTGTAACCCACCGGGGGATTAGGCTGCCAAATAAAACCAAAATCCTCTCCATGTAAACCAGAACTCCAGATTAAGGTATAGTTCACGGGGCGCTTCAAAGCTGAAGATTCAATGACCGAGTTGACTTCCGATGCATCCCGAGCAACAAGAACGTAGCCTCTCAATGGCTGGTTACTGGGCTGGCAGTAGTGACCAAGGCATAAAAAGCCATCTGGGATTGCCTGAGGCCTGTAAAATGTGGCACCCTGGCTGCATCTCCAAACTTTCTTAAATTCTGTGATCTTGGAAACTTCTATCTCTCCAAGGCTTATTCTTCCACTGCCAAAACCTTTTCCTAGTGAACAAATTCACAAAATGAAGTTTCACATGGCTGCAAAAGTAGATGGTATTAAGAACATATACAATAAAAGACCAATCATATCATAATCAATAATCAGCTTAGACTCTTGAGTTTAGTAGTAAGTTAACATGGCATCAAAGAAGGTCTTATACGAACCCCCCGATATTAATAGTTCACATGTTAGACTTCTTGAATAAAATTAATATTCCAGCCCACATACGAGAGAAAGCATCAAGAATATAAACGAAGGATCGAATACATCTTAATCTATATCAACTTAAGCTTTTAAGTTTATCGGTACTCTCTTTCAGAATATTACAATCGATAGAAGAATGAGAATTTGAACCTTTATCTTTCAAGAAGGTCAAAAAACAACTCTAATAGTTTTCTTGGGGTTTCTTGAATCAAGTTACAATCCAACCCCAAGAAAGTACGAAGTATACATTTATAAAACCTATCAAGAAATCCTTACAGTGATTTTTCTCAAAATATTCAAAGAAATAGAAATTGCTCACCCCCAAAAGCAGAAACACCAACTTCAATAGTTTCCTTGTGTTTCATGAATCAAATCAATATCCAATCCAAAGACAACTTAAAACTCTAATCTATCAACTCAAAACTTCCAATTTAAATGGTAGTTCAACAAATACAACTCCACAAATCCAACAACAGAGAGAGAAAAAATCCACCAAAAAATAAAACCCAGAAAGAAAACAAACCAGCAGCACAAACCCAACAGTAATCCAAACAACTTTTAACTAACATCAGTAGAAACTTGCTAATTTTGGACAGTATCGATTTCTTTCTTCTGTCTTTCTTCTTTTCTCCAATTGATGATCAGAAGTAATAGTAATACCTTGAGGCCAATCGGGAAGCGGCGAAGGAAGAGAGAAGGGTTGAGGATCTGAAAAGGAGAAATCTTGAGGATCGGCGACGCCATTGCAGCACCAACAATTCCACCCGATCATCCTTCAATCAAACCCACCAATTTCTGATGAAACCCACAATTTTCTTGTTTAATTTCTTCCGCAGATCTTCCGTCTCTTTGTTTCCTTATCCCAATTCCTCTGCTGTTTTCGAGCGAAACAGAGAGAGGGGAAGCTTCAACGGAATTGTTTGTGAATTTAAAGGAGTTGAAAAAAGTTTGAAAACTGTGCCCAGATACTGAATGGTAGTTGGGTTGGTCTAGTAATCCATTATTTATTTATTGCCACTCTACTTTTTGATAATTATTTCGCCCGTTGAATAACTATTTTATTTTTTACTTTCCATTTTTAAAAAATAAGAATAAAATATAACCTTTTTTTTTTTAATGATTTGAATCCAGGACGATTTGATAATTATTATTTTTTAGTACAATATATTGAGGTAAGGATCAAACTCACAACATCATAATTGAAGGTATATATCAATTACCGTTTAGTTATGCTTGCTTTGAAGATTTGGTAATTGTTTTATTCTTAAAAACTGAACTTATTTTTTGTATTTTAATGAGTAAATTAATCACCTTTCTTCAAAACATATTTGAATATTTAGTCAAATTTTAAAAGTAAAAATAAATATTAAAAATTTGCCTTATTTAAAAGAGTAATTGTGCTAAATTTTGAAAATGTTTTCAAAAACTATATAACGATAATGTTTAGCAAACGTGTCATAAGCTAAAATTTGAATACTAGTTTCAATTATTTTTATTGAAAATTTGTTAGAAATTCAACTTTGTTATTAAGAAAGGGAAAAAAATCATTTTTAAAAAATTAGAAGAAAGTAAGGATAATTTTTTAAACTAGAAGAGAAAAATGGAATTGTTATTGAATAGGGCCTTCATTTTTTATTTTCCGTTTTTTAAAATTATGTTCTTTAAGTATCTTTTTCATCTATTTTAAAAATACATTTGAATTTTAAAACAAAATTGAAAAAAAAAAACAAATTATTAAGAACTACTTTTTCTTTCTTTTTAGTTTTTAAAATATAACTTAAATTTTTTAAAAGTGTGTTTATAAGTTTAATTTTAAAAAATAGAAAACTAAGAAAAAATGGTTCTCATCATTTTTTTTATTCATAGATTTTAAATACTTTGTATTAATCTATAAAGTTCACGTAAAAGACACTATTTAAATCCTTGTCAATAAATTTTAAATTAATTATTTAATAAAAATATGATGTAGTTACATTTTTTTTTTCATTTATCTATCCATAGATGTCTATATTTAAAAGTTAAGCAATTAAAATAGAGTATTTTCAAGGTTTAAGGACTAAAACTAAATAAACAGAAATTCTTATAATTTAAAACATAAATAGTTTAAAATATTAATTTAAAAAGTATTACAAGCACTAATTTAAAAATAAAATTTTGATTGAATAAATGGTTAAAATTTAAATTTTCTTTTAAAATATAAATAAGAACATAATTTGCAAGTTTCTGTTAATATTATCTTTGAAAACGTAAAGGCATAATAATAATAATAACAATATTATTATTATTATTATTATAATAAAAGATAAAAGCGTAAAGGAAGAAGGTGGAGTGCAAATGCAGGGAAGTGGTTGTACGATGTGACTGTATTGGTTTCATTAATTTATGTTAAATTAAATTCGATTTTTTTAAATTTTAAAATTTATTCTTAATGTATTAACAGTTATTAATTAAGTCATCCTATTAAAAGACTTCTCTTTAACAGCTGTGTAATTAAATTATTATTTTTGTATTATTATATTTAAATATGTAAACATACCTTTTGAAGAAAATAAACTGTATTGATGAGCCTATTGAATTTTATGGAGTAACTAATATCCAAATAACATGCTTCCAAGTTCCTATCTAAATATATTAATACAGTAATGATTAAATTATATATACATATATATATATATATTTCAATAAATTTTAACAAATTATTGGATTGATTCTACCGATAATAAGAGTAAAATTTAAAAATTTAAGAAATATGGAGTCATAATACCTTAAAGTGTGGGACCATTGCGTAAACAAGAAATTTGTTTGAAAATCATTAATAAAAGCATATTGGCTTTTCAATTTCATCCTATACCCAAAAAAAAATTAATAAAAAAATAATAAAAAAACCAAAGGAATCAATAATCATAGTACTTTTGGTACTTTTCTTTTGTTAATATGTCATTAATATGTCATGTATATTGACTAATGTCATTTTGACAAAATATTTTTAGGTGAAAAATAATTTTGTTATGTATATATTTATGTAACTCAATTTTAAATTGGAACTTACTATATTCTAGGACCATAGAATTTATATTCTCAATTTAATCTTTCATTTAGTTAAAATTGTATTTCTAGATAGTAACATTACAGGAGTAGGGACTTAAACTTACAAATTTTCTAACCATTTGAATTATATTTCTGTCTTTTTTGAAAATGTAATAATATTGTTTGTGTACAAATTCGTTTTGTCCAAACAAAGTGGCTTATCCCTTCCGTTAAGTGAATGACGTATTATAATGCCTAAGTTAGAAAAAGTGAGTAATATATCTCATAAAGGATTCAAACATACGAGTGGTTTATCCAGTTGTTTTATAGGGGAGTGATGTTGGATCTGTTTTGTAAGAAGCCTGAGATTTTTGCCTTTAATCTCGACAAGGAATAGTCTGACGGTGAGTACTAAATAATGGCGATAACAATCTAGTAACTGACCCGCTCTCTTTGACTGACCTAATATTGCCAGATCGACATGCTCTTCCACCTATTAGAAAGGTAAAAATTATTAATATATTAATTAATTTAGCGGCTAACAATTGTATTTTGGGATGATGTTTTTTATCATCACATCGTATAAACCGTTTATGCAAGAGACGAGTATTAATATTTTATTCCTAAATAATTTTCCTTGAAACATTTTTAAACGAATAATTAAATGGTTTAGGTGAAGATAGTTGCCACTTGTGAGGATAATATCATATTATATTTAAAATGATTTCATATATCTATTTTTAAAAATAATATTGTAAAAATATCATCCCTTCATGGGTTCCACAAACCATTTTGTAAACTATAAACCTCCCTTTGAAGGGACAACATAATTTAGATAAAAGAAAAGTTAAAAGTTTAACCAACTTCCTAGCACTGTCACTGCCACGTCATCAAAAAAGTTGTTTTCTACGAGCACGTCTGAGAACATTTTTGCTTTATTTCTCATCACATGTTTATGATTTATTTTTTCAATCAAGAAAAATGAAGGGTCTTTGATAACTATTTTTGTTTTTGGTTTTTTATTTTTTATTTATGTGTTCTTAGTTTTTTGTTTGTCTTCTGTTTTTAACCAACAAAAACAAAAACTATATATGTTTGATACCAATTTTTAGTTTTCAGTTTTTTAAAAAAAGTTTTAAAATTGAAAATATATATTAGAGAGAGAAAATTCTAGGTAGGGTAGAGATGATAATGATGTGAGTGTGAGTGAGGATGCTCTCCCTCTTTTCATGCTCGTGAAAATTTTTAATCCTCGTCTCCTCCTCGTTCTTCGGTCTGAGAGATGTTCTCGAGAAAAATTATTGGATTTATAATTATTTTTAGAATTTTAAAAAATAATAAAGTGTAGGGATATGTATTAATTATTTAAGAAATAGAATCAGGGACGGAGTCGGGACATACATTTTCTATTTTGGGGCTCTGACCTTGCAGAATAAATAAACTTGGAAGATAAATTTTAGAGAGATAAATAAAAAGATTTAGAAAAGTTAAGACAAAAAGAGAAAAAAATAAAGTCTATAGGAAAAGATATGTTAACGAAAAAAAGGAATTAGAGAGAGAAAAATTATAATGAAAAAAAAATTTTAAGATAAAAACAAAATTTAAAATATAATTTTTAGAGAAAATAAATAAATACAGAGATAAATAAAAGTTATAGTGAAAGAAAATTGAACGAAAAAAGAAGATATAATTTTGAGAGGAAAAAATAGATTAAAAAGAGAAAGAAAAGTAATAAAATATGAAATTTTAGAGAGAAAAAAATTCGAAAAAATATTAAATATTTAAACTTGAGAAATAAAACTGATCTATTAGAAACAAAAATAAAAAATAAAAATACATAAAGATGAAAATTTGGAGATAGAGACAAATAATAATCAATTAAAATTAAAATTTTAGAGAGAAAAAATAAATTTAGAAAGAAAAATGTTTTAGGATGAAAAAGAAAGTTTTAGAGATAAATATAGTAAACAAAAAAAGGTCGAATATTAAGAAAAAAGTCAGCTTTTACAAAACAGAAACCTGTTTTGAAAACTATATATATATTTTTTGAAATTTACGTAGAATTTCAAATTGATTTTTAAAAAACAAAAAATAGAATATTGAATTGGTTATAAAAAAACATTTGTTTTTAAAAACTAAAAATAAAAAACCAAAAATTAAAACCAAAATAGTTATGAAACAGACACGAAACTAATTTAATAAGGGCTTCTTGGTTTTTTATTCTTTCTCTATCTTTTTATTGAAAAAAGAAAGTAAACATATTTAGTCATAGTCTATTGTCTTTTTTTCTCTAAAATTTTAGATTAAAAAATAATAAAAGTTTTATCTGAACTTTAATTTTTAAATTAAATATTAACAAATTTGATGTTATATTTATTTTATATATATATATTATGCACTTTTAAAATAAAAATAATAAAACAATGCTCTTACCTCTAGAAGAAAAATGAAAATATAAACGAGAAGCAATAAATTTTTTAAAGTTGAGGATGTATTAGATACAATTTTAAAAATTTAAATTAAAGTCGTAAATTTAACTTGTAAAACATATGTGAAATAGCTTAAATATAATATTATTCATTTTTTACCATGATTCAAAATGGATAAGGTAGAGGGTGGATAGGTGTCGCAATCCTATTTGTTGGGCCGGCGGAGGCTTTGTTTGGATGCTTTCGAATATGCTTTTAAATGATTGCTTTCAAAGTAAATGCCATTGCCTGACAAACACGTCCTTATTCTTAGAAAATAAAATAAATAAATAGAAAATAAAAAAAGATTAATGATTTTTGTCCGTCTTGTTATATATGATCACGACATTTGGATAATAAATTCTGATAAAAATAATATATTTTTGTTTAAAGATCATCTATTTGGTCCTTTTTTTTGTTTTGGTTCAGTTTGGTTCTATACTTTTAAAATATACATTTTTGTT